ATGCTAACAATTTTGAACAAAAAATAAATAAAATCATGAGTTTATATTTATTAATACTCAAACTTCAATAGGAATAATGCTTAGGTATTATATGATCGTTTTATTGTTGTATGATCTGAGTTAGGCGGCTTCGTTGGTGCTTTTTCTTGTTTCGAAATTTTATGTTCGTTCATAGTAAATAGCTGTGATTTGCCATTTACAGTTTTTTTTTTTTAATAATGAATTTGTGAGATAATTAACTAAATTAGTAGGAGTAAATTTCACTAATTACCGATGCTTCTTTTTATCTACATAATGTTTAAAACAGAAATTAGTCTCTTAAGTTTTTTTTAATTAAATAGTATTTTTATTTAAAAAACTAATTAATTACTTCTTTGATCAGCGTTGATCGTTTGAAGGAAAAAAAAAACAATCATAAGTTTACTTAGTAAAATTTTGTAAAAAGTTCTAATATATCTAGTAGTACTCTGTAGCATTTCACGTCCTTTAGTGATCTTTTTTCTTCAATCAGAACAATATTATATTTCTCAATTCATAAATGGTGATGGATGAAAACGAGAAATTGAAAGAATCTTCGAACTTAACCTAAGGGGGTGAATTAAACTGAGGTAAAAGAAAAGGAGGGTTTAAGAGGCTGCGACATGTCAATAATGTCTAAAAGTTTCCTTCGCAAATAATAATTCTTGCTTTTTTTTTTCTTTTTTTTTTTTTTCGTAAAGTAAGGGTACTTCTTTTCTTTCCTCTTGGATGGGATGTGCTTTGCTTGCTTACAGGGAACTCTACTAGAGCCACCTTCCTTAAAAAATTCTGTCGCTAAACATTCTGACCCAAAAGGGAACTGAGTGTAGTTTCACGTTTTGCTTTATTATTATTATTTTTTTTTTTGCAGCAATTTCTTTGTCAACTTATCCCGAAGTTTTTTAATGTCTTTATTTATTCAGTTCTGAATCTGTGTGCTGTGCGTATCGTTATCTGCTGAGTCATATGTGGGTCATGTGACTGTCTCCTATCCTAGAAGCTGCTTAATTAATTATATTTTATATCAATCCGCACCTACCCATGTACTTAGCACATGGTGAGAGCACCTGCTAGGGCTAGGGCTAGGACTAGCATGCATTGTGTGTTTGGAAAAAGGAAAAAAAAAAACAAATGTAAATATCTTAAAGGGCTAATCTTTGTTAGGGCCTTATGAGGAAGCGAACCCAAACCAAACCAAAAAAAAATTGAGTCCAACTGTCATCTTTTGGTTCCCTTTGTTTGGTTTTCGATTTTCAATTTATTTGTTTAGGCAATAGTTCTGTTTTTATTTCAATTTGATTTGAAAATCGAATATCCGAAATTCTTTTTTTCTTTTTTTTTTAAAAAGATAATAAAAATTTAAATTTAAATAATTTTTTTTAAAAAAATACAAATTGGACTGTCAAATCGAAATTTGTGAGTTCACTTAATACGTTTGATCTGTTTGTTTGTTGCCCCCTTGAATGAATCAAAAACCAAATGGAACTGCTACTATTTACTAATCCTTAAAGTCAAATATTCTTGAGTGCAAATAATTGATTTAGCCCATATAAATTTACGTTAAGAACACTTAGAAAGTGAGAGGAGTCTGGAAGAGATTGAATAGAATTCTCTGCATGCTTTTCATTAGGACTTTACTTAGTCCTTTTTTAAATTTTACAAAAAAGATAAGGATACATGTGTTTGAAGAGTTCTTATCTAAGCACAAGTGTTATCTCACATCTTCATCAAACTATTTATTGTTATGATAAGTTTGCAAGTGCAGGTGCAGTGGAAACCGTTAGCTTTGGCTTTGTAGAGTCCTTAGCAAACGTTTGTCTTAACACTCCCCTACAAACTGATAGTGGCTGACTATCAATTGTCAGTTTGTCTCTTAAAAACGCAAATCTATTTGTAGACAATGGTTTTGTTAAAATATTAGCTACCTGATCTTGTGTTGAAATGAATTTGACCTGTATACGTCCCTTAGCTACCATATCTCTAACAAAGTGAAATCTATTTTCACATGTTTAGTACGTGCATGGAAAACAAAATTGACTTCTAAATGTGTGACCCTAATGTTATCACACTAGATAATAGGTTTAGTTGTTGGAAGGTAACCCAACTCACCCAACAAAGTTATAATCCAAGTGAGTTATGTTGCCAAGTCAACTATTGCTTTATACTTTGTCTTTGTAGAACTACGTGCCATCGTTTTCTACTTGTTGGTCTTCCAACCGATGAGGTTCGGCGCAAGGAACACTGTATATCCACTAGTGGATTTCTATCATCTAGTGATCTAGTCCAATCCGAGTTTGAAAAACCTACAAGTAATTGAGATGCCGAGGACTTGATGTGGAGTCCATGATCTACAGTCTGTTTGAGGTAGCGTAAAATCCGTTTAACAGCAATCTAGTGAGTTAACTGTGGATTGTGCATAATTTGAGAAACTTTGTTAATCAAAAAAGCAATCTTTGGTATGGTCAAGGTATTGTGCTGAAGTGCTCCTAGCACTTGTCTATACCAAGTTGGATTATCAAAGATTGGGTTTTCATCTTTCTTTAGTTTTGTTGTGGTAGACATTGGAGTTGAAACAGATCTACAATTTAATATACGCTATTTAGATAGGAGATCATAAATGTATTTTAGCTGTGAGAGGATGATGCCTTGTTTGGTGCGGACCACTTCAACTCCTAAGAAGAAATTGATGTTGCCTAGATCACGAATAACAAATTGAGAGTTGAGAGCATTGATGACCAATTGTAAAAATGTGTTGTTGTTGGCAGTGATTAGAATGTCATCGACGTAGACTAGGAGAAACACTCTAAAACCTTTCATCTAGTAAATGAACAAAGAGGAGTCTGTTTTGGAACCCACAAAGGTGAATGAGATCAGAACACCATGAAGATAGGAGAACCAGCCCCTTGGTGATTGTTTGAGCCCATTTAGGGATTTGTTCAGTTTACAAACATATTCTATGTATTGAGAGTCAATAAAGCCCACTAGTTGAGTCATAAATACTGATTCATGAAGCTTACCATTCAGAAAGGCATTATGGACATCTAACTATTTAATGGGCCACCGCTGCGAAATTGCCAGGCTTAAAACTATCCAAATGGTAGTGGGTTTTACTATCTGATTGAACGTTTCATCAAAGTCCACACCTTCCCGCTGATGGTACCCTGTAGCTACCACCCTAGCTTCATATCTGCATGTTTCTTAGTTTTGAACACCGATTTGTTGCCAATGATGTTTATGGATGGCTCGGCGGAATTAAGGATCAAGTATTGGTTTTTAGCGAGTGCATTAAACTCATGTTCCATGGTAGAGCTACATTCTTGAAATTGCTTAGCCTTAAAGTAACAAGTGGGAGATTCAGGAACCTGTTTACTAGTCACAGCTAATAAAGCATTTGATGAGGGCTTAAAGCCTATGTTGTGAAGGATCATGTGATGCGTTCTTTGAGGTTTAGTAGTGGACATTGGTGTAGTATTATAGGGCCAACCTAAGTCATATTCACTAAGATCCAATATTAAATTTAAACTAGGGAAGAGGGGTTGGTTTAGATAAGTAGGATAGATGAGTAGTGCTTATGGATAATTGGTGAGGTATTGGTGGAGCTAGGCTTAGATTTGTGATGACTCTTGTCTTGGATTTGGAATAGGAGTTAGACATTGTGGAGTGGATGAAGTAGTTGACTATGGATTAGATTTGGCTGAATGGGCCTAATAGGAGGGACTAAGGGATGTTGACTCGTAGACAAATTTTTGTCGGTAAAAGTTAGGCTTGAATTGGAAGACTAGCCTAAGGAATTCAAAATTCGGTTTTGGGCTCTAAAATGAAGATTTTCAATTTTGGAAAAAGAGAATATTTTTAATAAATTTGACATGATGGACAATGTAAAAACGTTTAGTTTGTGGATTATAACAATGATAGCCTAAATGAAACGGACTATAACTCAAGAAAAATACATGAGTTGGACATAAAATCCATTTTATGTTTATTATAGGGACATAAGAAAAGGTAATATAAACACCCAAATGCTTGAAGGAAAGAGTAGTTAGAGAATTTATTAAACAAGATTTCAAAAGGGGATTTATTGTGAATAATTGGAGTTGGCATTCTATTATTAAGGTAAACTCGCGATTTCAAAAGCGTGATGCTAAAATGTCGTGGAGCACGAGCCTCCTCTAATAAGGTTAGTCATGTTTCCACAATATGACAGTGGCATCATTTTACTTTCTTATTTTATTCATAGGTGTGGGGACATATAATACGATGTATTCCCACCGACTTAAAAAAAGCTATTTGAATTTCGAAATTCACCACCTCAATCAGTTTGAATTTGTTTAATGTTAACATTAAATTGACGTTCAACCATTGTTTGGAATTGTAAAACGGTATTAAAAACATCTAACTTTTTATGCAATGGAAAATACCAAATATATGTTGAATAATTGTCGATGAACATAATATAACACTTATATCCATTAATTGAAGTAATGGGAGAAGATCCCCAAATATCACTAATTATTAAATCAAAAATACTAATACTAAAATTTTGAAAGAATGTTAAGATAAACGACTTGCTTTCCCCAATAGACAAGACATGCATGAACTAGATAGTTTTGAACAAGCAAATAATGTATTTTTATTTAAAAGCAGGGTTAGTACTCTGTTATGGGGATGACCTAATCTGAAGTGCCAAGTACTTGGAAAGGCTCTGACTGAAAATGCTCGAGGACGAGGACTGTTTGAAGAAGAAGGCAAACTATGGAGATCAACATCACTTAGGCCTGAAAGCATACGTTTTCTGCGTACCTGATCCTTTAGACAGAGACAAAAAGGGTGAAACTCCTAAAAAATTTTATTATCTTTTACAAGGCATCTAACAAAGAGCAGTAGATGTTTAATTTGTGGTACAAGGACCTGATTTAAATTTAGCCTACAATAAGGAGTATGAATATGGCTTGTACCTATATGATGTATAGGCAAGAACTTACCATTGCCAATTCGAAGTTGGTCAGAACCCTAGTAAGGTTCGCAAGTGTGGAAGCTGGTAAGGTATAGTGTGACATGGTGTGTTGCCCTTGTGTGAAGACACCATAGCGCAGAAGGCGGAGTGGACTGATATTATTGTTGTGGACAGTGGAGGGCCGTATGCTAATAGGAGTTGCATAATTGACATTTTTGTCATGGGTCATTATGCTGTCTAGAGTTGTTGCCAAACCAATCAAGTTTTCCATGCCCATGCCGCTTAAAAAATTTGCCCCTGCCATGGTTGTAACCTCCAACCCCGATCATTAAAATTATTGGTTCCTCTTGTAATTAGATGGGCAGCAGGTGGGGTTGGGAGAAAAGTAGCTGTGTTCATGGGTGAACTCGAAGAAGACACATTGTGTTGTTTTTCAGAGTTTAAGAATTCGTGGCTTAGTAAAAAACTATGGTCGTTGGTATACATTATTGGGTCAGCTCTTATAGACAAAGTGGTGGTGATGTCTCTAAAGTCCGCGGAAAGTCCCCTTGGACACTTATAGATTGAAATAAATAATGGAAAGTGGTCTACCTACCACAGCAAGCTCACCATCAAGAGCTTTTACCAGTTGCAAAGAAAGAGAGACTAACTCATTAGGTTCCTAACGAAGCCTTTGCAGATCAAGATGGAGGGTCATAATTCTCATACGAGAAGGAGAAGCCAAAGCATTCTCTAGAACGCTCCAAACTTCTCGAGAAATCGAGCAATCTATAATCATGGGGAGCACCTCAATTGAGAGGGAGGTAATGAGTGTGCTCATGAGGAGTTGATCCTGTTGGATCCATGCTTGGTGAGCGTGGTTAATCAGAGGTACCTCTAAACTAGTAGCAGTAATATGACTTGGGCGGCATGGGTTGCTCCCATCAATGAAACCAAATAGGTCTTAGCCTAGGAGGAAGGGTTTCATTTGAACACTACAGAGAAGGTAGTTTATTTGGGTGAGTTTGAGAGAGATGAAGTTATGAGAGTTTATGAGCTAGGTCATATTTGAAGAGTGATTCATGAATGATCTAGGGTAGTAGTAGTTGGGGTGGATGTGGTGCTGGATGAAGCCATTGGTTAGGAGGAAAAAGATTTATGTTTGCTGGATATTGGTGAAGGGGAAGAACGACAATGATACTAATAAAGCTTTGATACCAACTTCGAACATGAGAGGAGTCTGGAAGAGATTGAATAGAATTCTTTGCATGTATTTCATGAGGACTTTAGGTAGTCCTTTTACAGACTTTACGAAAAGATAAGGATACATGTGTTTGAACAGTTCCTGTCTAAATACAAGTTTCATCTCACATCTTCGTCAAACTATTTATTATTAAGATAAGTTTGTAGGTGTAGTGGAAACCGTTGGCTTTGGCTCTGTAAAGTCCTTAGCAAACTCTTGTCTTAACAAGAAGGATGATCACATTTCAACTTACTCCAATATTTTTTTCCTTTTTGGGAGAAGGTTTAGAAGTGTAGTCTCATGGGATCCTAACCTAGAAATAATTAATCACGAATATCTACTCTATGTGAAGATGATATATTTTGGGAGAATTGAATGAGCTTCGCGTCTAGTCATTCTTCATGTAAAGGCGAAACCCATATTTATTATATGTTACTTTATCTGGGCTCAAAAGGAAAAAAAAAAAAACACTTAGGGTTGGCTGGCTACTTAGCTAATGTAATGTTTTTTAGTTGTGGTTACAATCCGTACTCATATAAGCCAACACCACATATCTTTTTCTATCTTCATCACTTGTATAAGAATTGCTCCTGTCTAGTGCCTACTGATGGCCAGATGTGTGTGGGTTACCATCCGATACCAACTTCGTCATTTGACTCTGCGTTTATCACTCTAATAGTTGTAGTTTATGTTAAACCAATGATGACCATAATGATGCCCATGATATTTGCAGGAGGGCTGCTCACACATCAGTGTACGACAAGAACCTGGATGATCAGGAGCGTCCAAATGTGGTCCCGGATGATGTGATCAAGCCCGATTCGGACAAATACTGGGCTCCACACCCACGAACCGGTGTCTTTGGGCCTGCCACCGAGCACCTCTCTGAGATCAGCAGGGACGGTGCCTCTGTGGCAAAAGGTGGTCAGGACCCAGAGTTGGATGAGAAGGCCTGGTTCCGCCCCACCAGTCTCGAGGACTTGGAGAAGCCACCCCAACCATAATTGACAGACTATATATATATCTGTATATGTATCTATCAAGCAGAGGCGTGCCTGCGGTAGTTATAATAATCGATGTGAAATATTATAAACCCAATCTTCACAGTATGCTCTGCTGTGCTTATCGCTGGAGGAGAACTAGCTAGTAATCATATGCCTAGACATACTTAGTTGTTGTGATTTGATTTGAGTAACGTCTGTATGCTTGTTGGTTACGTTTCCACCTGCGTTCTGTCCGTCCTCCAATCCTATATATTGGCTTGTTATAAAAATCTTTCCTCTGTTTTTGAATAAACACTTTACCCTGTGTAATTTTCAAATTCTAGAATCTTTACGTCTAGCTTGATCAACGGCCGTTAAGTTTATATGCAACACCCAGGTATAAACATTCATATTAGGCACAAACCTATGACAGTCAAAAATTTTCAAAACCTGCTATGACCAAAAACTTGAGTTTATATAAAAATATTTACTCCAGAGATTGGGTTTTAAATATTTTTCTCGTTAAATAAAATTTAGAGTTTTAATAGCTTCAAGTTTATTTAGTAATTACTAGCTAGCTTATACGTCATAGGTTGAATTAAACATATTTATAGTTGGATTAAACATATTTATAATATCTCGTGATCTAAAAATCTCTTTAAAAGTAAATATATTTGTAAGATTTTTTTATTTATTTAATATTTATTTAAAGTAAGAATTAGTAAATTATGCTAGAATAAAGAATAAATTAATATAAATATAATTATTATGAAAGATAAATGAATTAATTGAAGGTAAAAGAATTAATTAAAGTGTGAATTAGATGTTTATAATATTAATTCATATGGTCATATATTAACCTAGGGGTGAAATTGCAAAATTGTAAGGGTGTAATTAAAACAATTAAAAGATTGAATTTTTAATTAAAATAATTAAGCAACTTTGGGGATCACAATTACTCTAGAAAAGGTTTAGGATAAAGGCTAGATTGTGAAAAATTGTGAGGTTATGGGCTGAAATTAGCGGGACCAACTATAAGAATTAAAAGTTTAAGAACTAAAGTGTAAAATTATGATAATTTGGGGGACTAATTAAATTGAGTTTGGGAGATTAATTCCATCAATGATAATCTAGAAAAATGGAGAGAAAAGTGGGTTGGTTAGGTCGGCATAAGGAGGAAGAAAGAAGAGGAAAACATCTAGAGAAAAATCAAGAAAAAAAGAGAAGAAAAATCTAAAGAAGCCATTAATTGTCATGGTTTAATATCAAACCAAGTGTGATACACTTGGCTTAATCTTAAGGAAAAGCCTTAGCTATAAATATGGGAGAAGAAGATGAAAGAGAGGTTAGAAACTTGAAAAATTCAAAATTATATCAAGGTGAGATCAAGTGAAACCAAGACGAAATTCACTAAACCAACACTCCAAATCACCTTAAGTAATCTTGAAACATCCTAAAATCACCCTAGAATCAGTTTAGAAGATCTAGCACGAGAAAAGGAGAAAAGTCATTCTTGGCGAAACTTAAAGGGAAAAGGAGGAAGAAATCCAAGAAAAAAAAAGGAGGTTTGAACAAACTTCAAGTGAGATAAGTGTAACCCTCGATACACAAATAAGAAACTTGTGTTTTTGATGTGTATTAAATGTTAAGTTGAAGTTTTATTGTTTATGGTTTTATGATTTTAATTATGGAGTTAAAGTGTGGTTGTTGGAATTGAATGATATTGAAGATATACTAATATTTGTGATGTTATAATTGTTATGCTTGGTTGGTTGATTGGAAATTGAAAAGTAAATTTTAGAGGTGTTCTTGTTTAGAAAGAGATGGTTTAGAATACTAGATTAGGAGGAAATTTATGATTTAGGTGGTTAATGCATTTAAAGTGTTTGATGAAATGATTTAAGAGTGTTTATGGTGTTGAATTGAAAAAATTGAAGTATGGCCACTTTGAGGAGTAATTTGGCCTACGTGAGAAGTTTAAGTTGATTGTTCTAATTAACCTAATTGATGGACAATTGATGAATTAAGGTTTCATTAAAGGGTTAGATGTGAAAAATTTTCGGGTAGAATGAACAAATTAAAGTTAGCCCTCCTTTAGGTAACCATTTAGCCAAAATAGAAAGAAAAATAGGAAATGATATATCCGAAATTGAATGATGTTTTTAAGGCTTTGAGGTATGAAATGACATGAAAAATAGTTGATTAATTGATGAAGATGATAAGGTAGAGAATGGCTAGACACCTTTAAGAGAAAAAGGAAATGGAACTAGCATTATTATGCAGGAGAAATTGATCAACCTCTCATGAGGAAAAAGAAAAAAGGTTCTTTCCGAAAGGGAGAATGAGGATTGTCATTTATATTGTTCTTTCTTAAAGGAAAGGATGAGGAAAATGGAAAGTTTCTAGTGCTTTTTTTGATTTTTCAAAAATTGCATATTTTAAAAGAGAGTCGATTATATAGACAATCGATGCAATAATCCTAAAGAGGAAAATGAATTTCAAAAGGCACAAAAATGATTTTTAAAATGCATCACTTGCATTACATGCATAATGAGCACTACATGCATCACATGGATTATATTTACCGAGTAACACTCACCTAGTTTTTTATGGTATAGGTAATAAAAAGGTTAGAGGATGACTGTCGTCGAGGAGGATAATCGATTTGTCATATCATGTGCTTAATTATGGAAATAAGTTAGGAAACTTTTATCTTTACTTAACTTATTTTTAGATTTAGAAATGGAAATTAGGTTAAGCAATTTATGGTATGCAATTGATAAATTTTGTACTTGAGAATTAAATAGTATGTTTATGTCCTTAATTGTTTAGTTTGGTAGCTTAAGGAGTTAATTAGCTACTTAATTAATTGAATTGGACTTAAGAAATTAATTTAGTAAGTAATGAAATTAATTTGAGGTAAAATAGAAGCATTAAGTGAATGTTTAATTGGTTTAGAAACTAAATTTTTAATGGTAAGAAATATGGAATTAAAATAGCAAGGCAAAATTGGTCACAAAGGTTAAGGCATTAAATGAAATTTAATGATTAATGAATAGATGCATTTAATGAACTAGTGTAATAGGCTAGTTTAAATAAATTTGGAACCAAAGTCTCATAAGTCCAAAAAAAAAAAACAATTGAATGGTTAAAACTCTAATTAAAGGTCTAAATGAATTTATTAAATGTCTACTTGAATTAATTAAATGAATTTCTACCCCCATAGAATTTTTATAAGAATAATGGCATTAAATCAAGATTTAATGGTTTAATATATATTGATTATTTTCCAATTAAATTGAATATATTATAATTAAATTATTTTTGGAATGAAAATAATGTAGAATAATCCTACCATATTTTATAGAATATTTAAAAATTTAATATTGAATATTTTAAATTAAATATGAATTTTTAGAAGGAATTTGAAAAAATTAACACACATGGTACTATTCATTATAATATAAGGTGTTTTATTTAAATGGTTAAATTGGAATCCAAGAATATGAGTTTTTGACCAAATTATGACATTTAATATCTCTACACGATGTAAAACTATTAATTGATGTTAGTGGAATTTTTGAAAAATTTATACGTAAGTTTTAATTAATTTAAATATATTATTTCTTATTTATTAGGAACCTTGTACGATAGCTATCATTTTGCTAGTGTTTTAGAAATATTAAAAAAGACTACTTGTTGACTTGCGGTCATTGCACTTTTAGCGTAAGTCAACATTGGTAATACTCTCAGCATATCTAAGTCCTACGTCTATAATGTTTCAATATTTATTTCGGTTTGATAACATACATTATATTTTCAATCAACTAAAATATATTAAATTAAAGATAAAAGATAAAATATCATCTAATTTTATAATTTTTAATCAAAATTTTGTATCTAATTTTTTTTATTTTTTTAATAAATTTTATAGTTAAAAAAATACAATGTGTTATTTCTTATGCATTTATTCTTAAATGAAAACCTATAATAATCTAAATATAAATTGAATATAAAATTAAAAAAAAATCTTAATATTTTTTTCTCATAATATTGAGTCAAAGAAATAAAGTTACAATTGATATAAAAAATTTACATAAAAATTAACAAATGAATCTTTTTTATTCTTATTTAATACCGATGAGAATAATATATATATATATATATTTGAAAATATGTAAATTTGATTTTTATATATTCATTTATAAAATAATGAATAATATTAGTATAAAAAATTATATTTCAATTATTAAGTAGTTCTTTTAAAATATTATTTTAATTATTTTATTTAAAAAATTAATTTTAAAATATTAAAAAATAACAAATAGTTGATGCTATATGTATAAATTCACAATTAATTTCCAATAAAATCAATCACCATACTTATTAGATACGGTCATTGATTTTATGTGTAGTATAAAATATTAAAATTAATTTTAATATTTTTGTATACATCATGACCGACTCACTATGTCGAATGTGTAGCATAAACAAAAAATATTTTTTTAAAAAATATATTGAATTTAATAAAGTAAAATTAAAAAATTAAAAAATTGATTTCAATAAAATTTGATTATATAGAAATAAGTATATAAAACACGTGAATTTTATTTATAAAATTTGATTATATAAAGAATAAACAAATAAAAATAACTAAAAAACAAAAACTCATATATAGAGAAAGTAAATCATATTTATTAAAAAAATTACATAAAAAAGAATAATAAAAATAAATTTGATGGTAATTTTTATGAGAAACAATATATTAAGCGGATCAATTTTAAATAATAAGAATGATATAATCCGACATGTATGTTCATTTTAAAATCTAAAAATATATTATATATACTTTATAATCCTCATCTTATGTGAAAAAATAATTTATTTTTTATAATTTTAACATTGAATTCAATAATAATCATAATCATAAATTGATGGAAAAAAAAAAAGCAAATGAGAAAAGTAAAGGAAAAAAAAATGAAGAGATAAGCCCGTGAGCATGGCTTCTACTTGCTTGTGTG